GAAAGTTTGAAAATGTACGCTGTGGAACTATGTCTTAGTTTTATACATGTTTTGGAAAATATAAATCTTTAAATCATTATTATATTGAAAAGGGGAATTTGGGTTAAAACAAGGTTAAAAAAAAGTAAACTAACAATTTAAAGGGGTGAAAGTAAAATCTTAAATATATGAGGAAGGTTTGTATAGTATACATTTTAATTTTAAAAGAAGCTTATATATGTTTTCAAAATAGAAGGAAGAATATAAGTTCAAATCCGAAGAAATATAATCGTTGGGAAAGTTTTAACCTTAATACTCCTAGTCCAATGAAAATTAATCCAAGTTTAAAATAACTAGAGAATCTTCTGAGTTACATAAAAAATAGAATAAAGATTTTGTAAGATAAAATAGAGAAACATCTAGCCTTTTTTTTTTTTTTGACCGGAAAACATCTAGCCTATTTCACTCTATATATAAAACATTTAATAAATATAAGCATAGGGTCGCAGTCACGTGTTTCAAGGTCCAGCTCGTAATTGGGCTGAGCAAAGACAGGATTGGCCGTTTGTCAAATCTGGCATGCCCTGAATGTCAGCGTTTTAGAATTTTTGTGACATAAAAAGTCAAAATATTATCATGAGAAAATTGAGATGATAAAAATTAATTGACAATTGATCCTTAGAATATTAAAATATAAATTACACAATAGAAGATAAATTGTAATTGCATAAAAGGAAGATGATTTATTCAAAACATTATGACTAATTTGCACATAAAAAAGATAAATTGTATACAAGAAAACATCAACTACATACAATAGAAGTTCAATTGCACATAGGAAAATGTTGCACAAGGGAAGATGATTATACACAAAAAAAATTAAGTTGCACTAAGTTTTTAGAGCTAAACCATTTGCGAATTAATTTCTCAATGAGGAATTTATTCTTGATGTTCCCTATTAGCTTTATCTATACATTTAAATATATTACTACTATATTTCACTATATATATAATTTTTTAAAAAATAAATCTTCAAATTTATATAAAAATAAATCCATGTATAAACTCTAAAAAATTCTTATCCTAACATACTTGAATTGATCTTATTGAATATTGCTTGTAAATAAATAATAAAAAATAAATCTATATTCATGTTATTGAAAATTAAATACGTGTTCTTACCAAAAAAAAAAGAAGATTAAATATTTGTGTGCTTTTTAAACTAATTTAATTAAAAAAAGACCAACGTATATATTATACCATCCCATGCTATGTATAAAATATAAATAATCATATTACGTAAATTAAAAATTAACTAAAATTAGTTCAATGCAATAAATGTATATGCTCCCTGCCTCCCTCTTATTTAAAATGTAAAACCTATTTTATAATATAATACAGTTTGTAATGTATTTTTCTTTAAATATACTTTTACTCATGGAGAGAATGAGTGACTAGTCAGTAATAGAGAGGGAATACAAAAAATAAATATAAAAGAAAATCTATTAAATTGGAAGAATAAAATATAATTATTTATTCACATGCACTATTCTGATTTTATTTATAAGTTAATTTTTAATGCATTTAACAAAGAGCCAAAAAATATAAAACTTCATTAACTCTCTTTTAAAATTTAACTAGAACCTTTACCCCTGTGCAATGCACAGGATGACACATATTAAAATAGTTGATACCTCTTCTATTGTAAAGAAAATTCATCTTTTGTTATTAATGTTTGAAAATATGATTTTTCTTATATATGATTTGGACAATACAATATCAGATTTAAGTATCTAATGTTGACGGTTTTACTAAAGGGAAAATTAGGGATAAATTCTGCGTTGAAAATTTAACTGGCAAATGGGACTTAGGATTATTGATTGCATAAGAAAAAATTAGTTACACACAAAGGATGATAAGTTGCACAAACATTATTTGGATATAAAAAATTAGTTTACACATAAGGAAGATGAATTGCACATAAGAGAATTTTATTTGTACAAAGGGAAATTGAATTACACATCGTAGAAAAGAAGATCATTGCACATAAGGAAAGATACATTACATACAAAGGAAGATAAGTTGCACATAAAAGAAGTTAAGTTGCATGAAATTCTTAGGTCCTATTTGCCAGTTAAATTTTCAATGGGTGATTTATCCTCACTTTTCCCTTTACTAAATACTAAATTTAACATGATTTTTTTAGTAAAACTACCTATAATATTATTTCCCTGATAAAACATCAATGTTTAGTTCCAAATAAATGTGAAAGGTGCAGCCACAATTACTGCGTCATTAAAATAATTAAATTCACAAAGATACAAAACAAAGAGGTTAAGGGTCAATTTGAAGATAACGTATATTACATAAATCAGATGTTAAGAAATTTTGTGAATAAATTGTTTGTGAAATTCCATTTGCATTTTTTCCTAATGGCATTTACAGTGCCCCTCTAGTATTAGTTTCGTTGTATTAAGTATTAACTGGACAGCCATTTAATTGCTTAACCTGACCCGTTTTGATATTATTGGGTATTACAAGATTTCATAGTAGAAGTAGATAGATAACTTTCTAACTTTATTCCTATTTAATATATATTGTCCCATGAGAATAAAGTCTACACAATAATAAATGAGAAGTAAAATTATACATTCATATAAAAAAATTTTCTTACTTACCTATAAATAGGACCACATTTTTTTCTCTTTTTGCCCTATAAATATAACTAGAGGAGTAATAGATAATGTGGGGACATATAATTAATTGATAAAAAATAATTAAATTTCTATGTACGTATTTTTATGAAAGATAATACGAGATTAGAATAGAGAGCAATTATAGGGACAAAAGAGAAAATAAACTCCTAAGAACCTGAAAACGACAAGAATAAGCATAGGCACTAGGGAAGAAGAAAATATCTAAGGATATAAATATTTTATTTTGAAAGTTTTCATTTAGGAATTTTGAGCACTTGAAATTTTTTTTTTTGATATAAATTTGTTCCAAAAACTGAAAATCATAGCAATATTGTTCTCTATCATTAAAAATTTTAAAATTCAACGTCACTATTTTAATGGTCAATATTGGCTTTTTAATTGTATAGAGCAATATTGCTTTGATTTCAAACTTTCAAAGCAAATTTGTATCCTAAAAAAACTTTTAGTGCCCAATACTCCAGAGTAAAAACTTTTAAGATAAATTTACAAATTAATCCTTCTTTTTTATTAACGAAAATTTGATATTAATCCACATGAAAAACATTATATCTTGGCTTATGTAATTATTTCTATTTATATTCAAGGTAGCATGACTGTATTTTTTAATTATGGGTTAATGTGTAAATTTGTTGCGGAAGTTTTCATTTAAGAGTGTTGGGCAACTAGAAGCTTTTTTAGATTCAATGTTATCCTCAAAGTTTAAAATCATACTCCCTCTATTTTTTTATAAGAAATATTTTCTCTGCTAAATATAAGAAACAATTCTTTTCATTTAAAATTTTAAACTTATTTTTTTATTTTTATCCTATTAAATATATACCACTTATCATCTCTCTGCAATAAATTTTCATTCATTATCTCTCATGTACTCTCTTTACTAATAAAAGTATATTTGGAAAAATATGGATCTATCTTATATATTTATTACTTTTAACTAAATTTAACTAATATTTTGAACTATATAATTTTGGTAGTTATTTCTTATAATAATGGGCAGAGAGAGTAGCGATTTTGCCTGTAAAGAAACAAAACCCAAAGTCCGTACAAAGTTAAATGATTAAATGTATAGCTTTGTTTTTATTTTTGGGAAAATTAATTTCCCTTTCCTCATATTTTGCTTAAGTTTTGAATCAAGTCCCCATACTTTTTTTTTCTTTTTATCAAATCCTTTAAGTTCCATCCGTTGTTAACGTTAGTCCCTACTCTTGAAACCGTTTATTGCACATGTGGTAGGGATTAGGGTTCGTTCGAGGTTCTTGAAGACTTTGGCGGCAATCTGACATGGGTGGCTCCTAGAAAGACGGAGAAGCTAGAGTTCTTCTTGGATGGCCCTTTCCTCTTCAAGGTTCGGCACGGGAAAGAAGGTGATGATGATAAACAGCGTGAAAGCATAAACAAATAGCTTCTCTGCTTCGTTATGTTTTTTTGAAATAATAATAAAACTGAAGAGCGAGAAAGGAGTACTTGATTTGGATTAATGTTCATTGAAGGTGAATTCTTAGTATTGCTAGTTAGGTACTGGAAGATCCCTCTGTGGAAGAAATTGAAACCATGGGAGCTGCTGATGGTACAATTAAGAGTGGTGTAGGTGTGGCCTTGATGGGTGGCATGAGAGTCGAGCTGATCTTAAGAAGAGTTTCGCGGACGAGGATGACCATGAAAGACATAATGGGTTGTAATGTAAAGTTCTGTAAAATGAAGGGAAGAACTCAAATACCCAATGTGCAAAAGACGTCAATGATGAAGGAGAAGCTTTTGATTAAATTATTGTTTTTATGCCTTTGTTTTTGTAGCTGACTGTCTAGTCAAATTTATATGGGTACCTGTCTGCCATGCAAGTCAGTGCGCTGAACAGTTTTTTTAACAGTGTTAACCATTTTTAAACAGTTTTAGACGGTAGGGACTGAGAGAGCTGACTGTGTAAACCTAAAGGACTTGATTTAAAACAAAAAAAAAAAAAATGCAGGGACCTGATTCAAAGTTCAAGCAAACTATACGGACTATGAAGTTACTTTTCCCTTTTTTTTAAAGAAGCTAAGTATCAGTTATAAGACTGTATTTATTTCAAATTATATATCTATTTAAATAAAAAAATTTAAGATAAGAAGAAAAAGGTAAATTAATGAAGCCCAACACTCTAGAAGTTGGACACACGGAAACGGCAAACATATTGACTTCTCAGCACAAGAGACGGAATTTTTCATTATTGCCCTTCACATCGTACGCGCGTTCTTCCAACTCTTACATCATCTGGTGCTTTCTCAAGCCCTCTATATATAAGGCCAAAGCAGGAAAGATTCCCATCTCCTACGCCCTGAGAGTTGATAAGATGGAAGCAAGAGTTGAAGATATTGTGATTGTGGGAGCTGGGATCGCTGGCCTTGCAACCTCCTTGGGACTTCACTGGTACTCCCTTCTGCTAATTCTATTCCAATTTCACTGTTGTGTGTTTTCGCCCTGTGAAAGACTGCTGAGTTTTCTTTTCTTTTCTTTCTTTCTTTCTTTGTTTTTTTAATCCTTTTTTGAGTAAACTATTAGGTAGATTTTGTTTCTCTCTTTTGAAAGTGAATATATATATATAGATGTATGTATATATGTATATGTAAATCTTGAGTTGTGTTGAAGTACATAAATCATAGTAGATTTGTTTTTTTGGGGAAAATAAATAACAAATTAAAAAATTTCTTTTAATTTTTTTTAAACTTCACATACCTCTTTCAATCTTAATTAAGGAGTTGGAATAAAAATTATAATTAAAAAAGTAAATAATTGTGTAATTTGATCATTTAACTTTATATGGGGTTTTTATTTAGTCTCTTAACTTTAAAAAAATATATTTTTAGTCTTTTAACTATAAAATCATTAGGCTTAAATGACGATTTTTCTTATAATAATTAATGTTGTTTTGAAAATTAAACTCAATATGTTAGTATTTGAGAATGTTTTATTAACATTTAAGATATCAATGTCATTATTTTTCGTTAATAATTTTAGAATTAAATGACTAAAAATATATATTTTTAAGTTAAAAGACCAAATTAAAATATGGTATAAAGTCAAAGGATATAAGTTCATTATAAAAAAGGAAGTAATTTATACAAATCTCGAAATAAGATGTTTATACTAATTTTAAAAAATTCCGTTATTTTGTTGGCAAAAAAAAAATCTGTGATTTTGATGAAATGGCTACATAATTTAATTTGGGTTAAAGGTTATTTTTACACTCTCATAAGTTTTATTTTTAACTCAATGCCAATCCGGAGTCTTAATGAAAAGAAAGAAGCAATATCATTTTTTAAAAAAATAAGTTAATATTAATTATTAAAAAACTAACCTTGATGGTTATCATTCTTATAGAAATGGTAACATTACTTTTTTTAAATATTTTCAGGGTAACATTGAGTAAAAACATTTTCTAGATACTCACAATTCTTTTACGAACATTTTCTGAATAAAAATGACTCTCAACGCATTTAATTTTTTTTACCCCAAAAATGTCGATCAAGTAAGCAAAGTGTTTTTATTCATATAAACTTGCAGGTTAGGCATCCGAAGTTTGGTTTTAGAATCTTCAGATAATTTGAGGGTCACAGGATTTGCCATCACAATGTGGACAAATGCTTGGAAAGCTTTAGATGCTCTTGGCCTTGGCCACATCCTTCGTCAACAACACTTACAGCTTCACGGGTAATCTTTATGTAGTGATCCTTTATGAATACATGTATAAATCCATGACACGTAGTTCCAAAAATTAAATTAATAATAATTAGGTTCTTGACAAAACTTTGTAAAAAATGAATTAATAAATAGTGATTTAGACAATTGCTAATTTAGGTGTCTCAATTGTAAACGCAACATTTAAATTTAAAAACCTGTAAGGACATAATAAAGGGGAAATGAACTGTGAGGATTAATGAATTAGTTTTTTTAGAACTTTTTTGCATTGTTAATTTCGATGAGACAAGTAAAGAGATGAGAACGATACATATACATATATATATATATATTATATGTATATATTGGGTAATGATTAAGAGCCTGAAACTAAACATTTTGAGACTGGAGTGCAGAAATGTCACTACTTCTTTCATCACGGGACAACAGATATCAACAACCCTTCTCGCCAATGCCACCGGAAAACAGTAAGTAAAATACGTAAATGATGACTCTGTTCTCTTTATAATAATCATTATCAGTATATATATCTCGAGTAGCTGTGAATTTACTTTTGTTGTGTAGGGGGAAAAATAGTTACAAATTTACCTCCAAAGTTTTCATTGAGAAGCGTTTGCCTCTTGGAAGGGTTTTTTTGTTTTTTTGGGAATTCAATATTATCTTTTAAGTTTAGAATGGTATAAATTTTGCCTTTTATCATTAAAAATTATTAACGATCAACATTAGTTTTTTTAACAATAAGAAAAAAATTATTATAATTTTAAATTTTCAGGATAATATTGAATCCAAACAAGACTTTCTAGCACCAGCGTTTTTAAGTAAAAACTTCTGAGGCAAATTTGTATGTTAACCTTTCGAGGTGCTTTTGTGGAAGTTCAATCTTTTTTTAACCCTGGACGCAAGGAGCTATTATGAATTCTATCAGTTAGCATCTTCACCACTTCTACATATACAAACAGTTACATAAACACACAATTTTACAAGCTGGTTCATATATATATATATATATATATATATCTATTTTAAAATGTATTACATGAAATTTATCACTGATCAGGGTCCAAATTAGATGGTTGAAGGAATTTTTACATGGTGCAGTGGGGCCCATGAAGTTCGTTGTATCAGACGGCAGTTACTGTTGGAAGCGCTTGCCAACGAACTTCCAAGGGGCACCATCAGGTACTCTTCAAAGGTGGTAGCTATTGAGGAATCTGGCTTCACTAAACTTGTTCATCTTGCTGATGGAACTGTCATCAAAACTAAGGTAACACTCGGTTCATTAACAACATCTAAGATCAACCAAGGCCTTCAATGAAAATCTCAACAATATATAGTATCATTATTGTTCATGATGGGAAAGCAGGTATTAATTGGGTGTGATGGAGTGACCTCGGTAGTAGCAAAGTGGCTTGGATTGAACAAGGTTGCCTTCTCAGGAAGATATGCAATTAGGGGTTGCATTACCTTAAAGAGTAGCCACAAGCTTGAACCTATGTTCATGCAGTTCTTTGGAAAAGGTTTTAGAACTGGCGTTGTTCCCTGTGATGACAAGACAGTTTATTGGTTCTTTACTTGGACTCCTAGTGAACAAGGTAAATCCTCTCAAACTCATAGGACAGCAGATCCCTATAATTCCTTTAACAATTGATAAGGTTGTATTCAATTTTAGTACACAAGATTCCATAAAATAAAACAATATTACCACTAGTGCTTAATATAAGATCTAATTAACTAATTTAGAGAGATTTAAAAAAAAAAGAAATAAATCACTTTAAAAGTATTCATATTTACTGTTTTTTCTCCAAATTAACTTAACTTATAAATTGATATAGAATCTAATGATAAGCATAAACATTTTTAGAGATCATGCAATATATGCTATAATTAAGTGAATTATTTAGTTTCCTTAATCTTTTCAAATTAGTAAATTGGGTTTTATAAAGAATCAGAGATAGTATATACTATCTCTTGTCTTAATTATAAGAGTTAGTTAACTAATTTGAGAAGATTAAAAAAAGAAGTTAAGTTAGTTATTTGTAACAAATAGGTGTTGTTTTTCCTAAAATATCCTTACTAATCAAGTGTATTGGCTAAAACTATAATTGTTAAAAGGATTATTTTGGGAAAAAAATACATAAATATGAGAAACAAAATGGATTGGGATCTTATATTTAGAACCAAAATAAAAGTCAAACAAGGTCTTATATTGAGGATCGGAGGTAGTACCATATTGGAACATGCTAACATTCAATAATACCATACCAAAATCAGGAGGAAGATATGCCAAATGCCACTTGAAATTTCAATTTCTCAATTCTGCATTAATATAAGTAGGCCTAGAGCTTTGCATTGGCTAGCTAATGCAGTAATTGCTTGTGAAACGCTCTATTATTGAGATTATCTTCTAAATTCTCTAGCTGTAACACTCTATTCAATATGCCTAACACCTATATAGTTTATGTTAATAAATGCAAGCGCAATACATATGCTCATTTTACTTGACTTCCCTTGCAGAAAAGAAGCTAGAAGAGGATCCGGCTAAAATGAAGCAATTTGTGTTAGAGAAGCTAGAGAATATGCCAAGTGATTGTAGAGCCTTCATAGAAAATACTGATTTGGATAATATCTTATCATCCCCATTGAGATATAGAAATCCTTTGGAGCTAGTGTTTGGAAATATCAATAAGAGCAACGTGTGTGTTGCTGGAGATGCGTTCCACCCTATGACCCCTGATCTTGGCCAAGGTGGGTGTTGTGCTTTAGAAGATGGGGTTGTTTTAGCTCGGTGTCTTGGCGAGGTCTTCTTCACAAAATCAAGCGGAGAAATTAGAAACAGGAATGGAGAAGAAGAGGAACAGTGTAAGAGGATTGAGGCTGGCTTGAAGAAATATGCTAAAGAGAGACGATGGAGAAGTGCAAATATAATCTCTGCTGCTTATGTGGCAGGCATTATTCAGCAGGGCGAATCCAAATTGATCTCCTTTTTCAGAGATAAGTTTCTGGCTGCACTTCTAGCTGATATTCGATTAAAGATAATTGATTTTGATTGTGGAAAGCTGAGCAACTCTTAGATCTCTAGCTATGAGTTGTTAATGGAGACACAATGTACTACTACATATAAATAAGGTGATGATGATAAACAGCGTGAAAGCATAGACAAATAGCTTCTCTGCTTCGTTATGTTTTTTTTTTGAAATAATAATAAAACTGAAGAGCGAGAAAGGAGTATTTGATTTGGATTAGTGTTCATTGAAGGTGAATTCTTAGTATTGCTAGTTAGGTACTGGAAGATCCCTCTGTGGAAGAAATTGAAACCATGGGAGCTGCTGATGGTACAATTAAGAGTGGTGTAGTTGTGGCCTTGATGGGTGTCATGAGAGTCGAGTTGATCCTAAGAAGAGTTTCGCGGATAAGGATGACCGTGAAAGACTAATGGGTTGTAATGTAAAGTTCTGTAAAATGAAGGGAAGAACTCAAATACCTAATGTGCAAAAGACTTCAATGATAAAGGGGAAGCTTTTGATTAAATTAGTGTTTTTATGCCTTTGTTTTTGCAGCTGAATGCCTAGTCAAATTTATATGGGTACCCGTCTGCCACGCCAAGTCAGTGTGCTTAACAGTTTTTTAACAGTGTTAACCATTTTTAAACGGTTTTGGACGGTAGGAACTGAGGGAGATGACTGTGTAAACTTAAAAGACTTGATAAAAACTAAAAAAAAAAAATGCAGGGACCTGATTCAAAGTTCAAGTAAACTATAAGGACTTCGAAATTACTTCTCCCTTTATTTTTGAAAGAAGCTAAGTATCAGTTATAAGGCTGTATTTATTTCAAATTCTATATCTATTTAAATTAAAAAAATTAAAAAAAGAAGAAAAAAGCAAATTAATTAAGTCCAACACTCTATAAGTTGGATACGTGGAAACCACAAACATATTGACTTTTCAGCACTAGAGACTGGATTTTTCATTATTGCCCTTCACATCGTACGCGCGTTCTTCCAACTCTTACATCATCTGGTGCTTTCTCAAGCCCTCTACATATAAGGCCGAAGCGGATAAGATTCCCATCTCCTACGCCCTAAGAGGTGATAAGATGGAAGCAAGAGTTGAAGATATTTTGATTGTGGGAGCTGGGATCGCTGGCCTTGCAACCTCCTTGGGACTTCACAGGTACTCCCTTCTGCTAATTCTATTCTAATTTCAGTGTTGTGTTTTCGCCCTATGAAAAACCGCTGAGTTTTCTTTTCTTTTCTTTTCTTTCTTTTTTTTCTTTTACCTTTTTTGAGTAAACAATTAGGTAGATTTTGTTTCTCTCTTTTGAAAGTGAATATATATATATATATATATAGATGTATGTATATATGTATATATAAATCTTCAGTTCTGTTGAAGTGCATAAATCATCGCAGATTTGTTTTTCTGGGGAAAATAAATAACAAATTAAAAAATTTCTTTTAATTTTTTTAAACTTCACATACCACTTTCAATCTTAAGGAGTTGGAACAAAATTTATAATTAAAAAAGTAAATAATTGTGTAATTTGAAGTTTAGATTAAAGCATATATTTAATCATTTAACTTTATGTAGATTTTTAATTTAGTCCCTTAACTTTAAAAAGTACTCCCTCCGTTCCTTATTATAAGAGACAAATAACCGAAGTACGTTGATCAAAAAAATAGTTAAAGTTAGTTAAGAACAATTAATGTATAAAAAGTATAATTTTTTTCCAAAAATGCCCTCATTAATAAGGAGAGAGAACAATTAAATTATTAAAAGAAAGAGAAGTGGGAGGGAGAGAGAGTGTGAGTTGAAGATAATAAATATGGGTAAAATAGTAAATCAACACAAAAAAGTAGAGACAACTTGTAAGTGTCTCTTATATATAGGAACATGGCATAAGCATCAAGTGTCTCTTATAATAAGGAACGGAGGGAGTATATTTTAGTCCTTTAACCATAAAATCGTTAGGCTTGAATGACGATATTTTTTATAATAATCATGGTTGTTTTGAAAATTAAACTCAACATGTTAGTATTTGAGAATGTTTTATTAACATTTAAGATATCAATATCATTATTTTTCGTTAATAATTTTATAATTAAATGACTAAAAATAGATTTTTTAAAGTTAAAAGACCAAATTAAAATTTGATATAAAGTCAAAGGATATAAGTTCATTATAAAAAAGGAAGTAATTTATACAAATCTCGAAATAAGATGTTTATACTAATTTTAAAAAATTCCGTTATTTTGTTGGCAAAAAAAAAATTTGTGATTTTGCTGAAATTCATGAAATGTTCACATACTTTAATTTGGGTTAAAGGTTATTTTTACACTCTCATAAGTTTTATTTTTAACTCAATGCCACTCCGGAGTCTTAATGAAAAGAAAGAAGCAATATCATTTTTTTAAAAAATAAGTTAATATTAATTATTAAAAAACTAACCTTGATGGTTATCATTCTTTATAGAAAGGGTAACATTACTTTTTTAAAAATATTTTCAGGGTAACATTGAGTAAAAACATTTTCTAGATACTCACAATTCTTTTACGAATATTTTCTGGATAAAAATGACTCTCAACGGATTTAATTGTTTTTTTTAAGCAAAAATTTCGATCAAGTAAGCAAAGTGTTTTATTCATATATATATAAACTTGCAGGTTAGGCATCCGAAGTTTGGTTTTAGAATCTTCAGATAATTTGAGGGTCACAGGATTTGCTATCACAATGTGGACAAATGCTTGGAAAGCTTTAGATGCTCTTGGCATTGGCCACATCCTTCGTCAACAACGCTTACAGCTTCACGGGTAATCTTTATATATATAAAGATATTTTATAAACCCATGTATAAATCCATAGCAGTCAGTTCAAAAAATTAAATTAATAATAATTAGGTTCTTGACAAAATTTTGTAAAAAATGACTTAATAAATAGTGATTTAGACAATTGCTAATTTAGGTGTCTCAATTGTAAATGCAACATTTAAATTTAGAAAACTGTAAGGACGTGATAAAGGGGAAATGAACTATGAGGATTAATGAATTAGTTTTTTAAAACTTTTTTGCATTGTTAATTTCGATGAGACAAGTAAAGAGATAAGAACGAGATATACATATTGGGTAATGATTAGGAGCTTGAAACTAAACATGTTGGGATTGGAGTGCAGAAATGTCACTACTTCTTTCATCACGGGACAACAGACATCAACAACCGCTCTCGCCAATGCCTCCGGAAAACAGTAAGTAAAATATGTAAATGATGATTCTGTTCACTTTATAATAATCATTATCGGTTATCGGCATATATATATATAGAGAGAGAGAGAGGGAATATAGCTGTAAATTTACTTTTGTTGTTTAGGGGGAAAAAAGGTTAAGGTGCAAATTTACCTCCGAAGTTGTCATTGAGAAGTATTTACCTCTTGAAAGGTCTTTTTTCTTTTTTAATTCAATATTGTCTTGTAAATTTAAAGTCGTATAAATTTTGCCTCTTATTATTAAAAATATTAACAGTTAACATTAGCTTTTTTAACAATAGGAAAAAATTGTTATAATTTTAAATTTTTGGGATAACATTGAATCCAAACAAAACTTTCTATTACTAGTATTTCTGAATAAAAACTTTCAGGGCAAATTTGTATGTTAACCCTTTGAGGTGTTTTTGTGGAAATTCAATCCTTTTTTCTACCCTGGACACAAGGAGCTGTTATGAATTCTATCAGTTAGCATCTTCACCACTTGTACATATGCAAACAGTCACATAAACACACAATTTTACAAGATGGTTCATATATATATATATATATATCTATTTTAAAATCTATTACATGAAATTTATCACTGATCACGATACAAATTAGATGGTTGAAAGGATTTTTACATATTGCAGCGGAGCCCATGAAGTTCGTTGTATCAGACGGCAGTTACTGTTGGAAGCGCTTGCCAACGAACTTCCAAGTGGCACCATCAGGTACTCTTCAAAGGTGGTAGCTATTGAGGAATCTGGCTTCACTAAACTTGTTCATCTTGCTGATGGAACCGTCATCAAAACTAAGGTAACACTGTTCATTAACAACATCTAAGATCAACCAAGGCCTTCAATGAAATCTCAACAATAGTATCATTTTTGTTCATGATGGGAAAGCAGGTATTAATTGGGTGTGATGGAGTGAACTCGATCGTAGCAAAGTGGCTTGGATTGAACAAGGTTGCCTTCTCAGGAAGATATGGAATTAGGGGTTGCATTACATTAAAGAGCAGCCACAAGCTTGAACCTATGTTCATGCAGTTCTTCGGAAAAGGTTTTAGAACTGGTGTTGTTCCCTGTGATGACAAGACAGTTTATTGGTTCTTTACTTGGACTCCTAATGAACAAGGTAAATCTTCTCAAACTCATAGAACAATAGATCATTATAATTCCTTTAACAATTGATGGAGTTGTATTTCATTTTAGTACACAAGATTCAATAGAATAAAATAATATTACTACTAGTCATTAATATAAGACTCAATTAACTAATTTGAAGAAATTAAGAAAAAGAAATAAATCACTTTAAAAGTGTTCATATTTACTGTTCTTTCCAAATTAAATAACTTAACTTATAAATTGATATAGAATCTAATGATAAGCATAAATATTTCAGAGAGATCATGTAATATATGTTATAATTAAGTAAATTACTTAGTTTCCTTAATCTTTTTTTGATAATATAGTAAAGATTTTACAAAGAATCGGAGGTAGTATATACCATATTGCAACGTGTTAACTCAATAGTACCATACCAAAATCAGAAGGAAGATATGCCAAATGCCACTTGACATTTCTATTTCTCAATTCTGCATCACTACAAGGAGGCCTAGAGCTCTGCATTGGCTAGCTAATGCACTAATCACTTGTGAAACGCTCTATTATTGAGATTATCTTCTAAATTGTATATTCTCTGTAACACTTCATTCAATATGCCTAACACCTATATAGTTTATGTTAATAAATGCAAGTGCAATACATATGCTCATTTTACTTGACTTCCCTTGCAGAAAAGAAGCTAGAAGAGGATCCGGCTAAAATGAAGCAATTTGTGTTAGAGAAGCTAGAGAATATGCCAAGTGATTGTAGAGCCTTCATAGAAAATACTGATTTGGATAATATCTTATCATCTCCATTGAGATATAGAAATCCTTTGGAGCTAGTGTTTGGAAATATCAATAAGAGCAACGTGTGTGTTGCTGGAGATGCGTTCCACCCTATGACCCCTGATCTTGGCCAGGGTGGGTGTTGTGCTTTAGAAGATGGGGTTGTTTTAGCTCGGTGTCTTGGCGAGGTCTTCTTCACAAAATCAAGTGGAGAAATTAGAAACAGGAATGGAGAAGAAGAAGAGGAACAGTATAAGAGGATTGAGGCTGGCTTGAAGAAATATGCTAAAGAGAGACGATGGAGAAGTGCAAATATAATCTCTGCTGCTTATGTGACAGGCATTATTCAGCAGGGCGAATCCAAATTGGTCTCCTTTTTCAGGGATAAGTTTCTGGCTGCACTTCTAGCTGATATTCGATTAAAGATAATTGATTTTGATTGTGGAAAGTTGAGCAACTCTTAGATCTCTAGCTATGAGTTGTTAATGGAGACACAAGGTACTACTACTACTGAGTTCGCCTTCGTTATGTATACAAGACAAAATCTATATTGAACCTATAGTATTACTGGCACTTAGCATTCATTTTCACCAACTCACATATCTCCAATTTTAAAGGCTCTAAGTGGACAAAAAGAAAACTCTACAAGAGATCTGAATTATCAATGGATCCAGCAATAATAGTGTAAAATGGTCATCCGTAAGCTTGCTTACACAGTGGTTTGCAAAGTTTATCAATGCATGCTTCTTGAGAAGATCATCATATGGTTATATATATATATATATATATATATATAAACATATCTTTATATATATATATATATGAATATTTGTTTGATTTCTGTTTTCCTTCCTTTTTAGGCCTGGTAAAGCTTTTCATACTATCCTTTAATCCTGAATGTTGTACTACTATTTACTACTATGTCATGTTATTAATATAAAAGCTAGTTAATTAATTTGAGCAGATTAAGAAAATTAGTTAAGATAGTTATTTATAATAAATAATATTTTCTTTTTTGAAATATCCTTATTAATAATGTGTATTAGCTAATAAAACTTTTAATACATGCAATTAGTATAATGACTACTTTGGAAAAAAATAGATAAACATGAAAAACAAAGTGAATTGAGGTATTATATGTAAGACCAAATCAAATGTCATATTAGCTCTTATATTAAGAATCGGAGATATTTTTTTTTTTTTTTTTGGGTTGGGATAATGCAGAGCAGAACAAATGTTTTTATTATACTGAAGACTTAACCAAGCTAGTACTTTCGAACTATTTAAAATATATTAAAGCATATAAGCTATTGACTCGTTTTTTTTTTCTCTTTTTGTGAAAATAATTATTGCGTCATTCCAAATATTGCCTCTTCTTCTTTACATAATTTTCTGAGTTAAGGTGGAAAAATACCTATAAACTTTTACTAAAAGTGTGCCTATAATTATATATTTTTCTCAAGTGCAAATTTACCAAATTCAAAATCAGAGCAAAAATACCAATGCTGTTAACATCGGCGGCCTCTTCTTCCCTTCTTTGTCGACACCAAAGACTTCCCTGCCCTCAACACCCAAGACTCCTCTGATCTGCCCTGTTCTTTATGCGTATCCTCTGGGTCGCTGCCCAGCTTGGTGTCACTGGCAGTTTCAAAGCCATCGGAAGCTCCTTTGTGGTCATCAACATCGGACGAGGCTGGCGATTTTGCAGTTTTCGCAGATTCAGAGGGACTCACGACTTTTTGTTCAGTCTCAGTTTCTTCCTGTTGGATCACAACCGTTTTGCAACCTAGGGATTTATATTCTGACGCTGAGAAGGAAATAGAAAGTGAATTTTCAAAGCAACTATAAATTTGCATGTAACCCTCCTTCTTACAAATTTATAGCTTTATATGACATGATGATGTGAATGGTGGGGATGGTGAAGGAACATTCAACTTTTTGAGGTTTCTTGCTTCAAATATGGATCTCATTGAGAGTCTGTTGTTCATGTTGAAAGCTTATTGGAAAGTGGGCTTGATGAATCTGCAAGAGAACTGTTGGATTGCAGAGTTTGCCTTTGATTTCTTCCATATCTGGATGCTTTGATTCTTTGATGTATTCAATTGGATGGAAGAAGCTACCCAATGCTGGAAATTTTTCTTATATTCTTCTTTAGTTCTTCCATCTCCTGTTCTTCAATTCTTCACTCTGCAAATTTCTTTTTCTTTTTTTTTTTCCTTCTTAATTTTATCTTCCTGTTTTAGTTTGATTCAGACTACATCTGACTTTGATGATATGGGATGATTTTTTATTTCACCTGTTGATTGTTGATGTGGGATAATCTCTGTTCGTTGAATTTGCCACTAATCCAAACATGGTAATGTTTGGATGGATGAGTGATGAAGATGATGGGTGATGGATTGTTTCTAAGAAAGTGGAGGACTATGCTGATGTGGACGCCAGCTTGGCCTGAGATAACAGACATTAGGCTTATGTAACGGAAATATCGTTTTTGCTCAGTTTTTTAACATTCATTGGCAGTTTTACACTTGAAAAAGAATATAAAGTGTTACGTGTACTTTTAGTTAAAATTGATAAGTATTTTTACGCCTTAATCCTAATTTTTTTATGTGAGGTGTCAACTTGCATCAAATTGAAATGAAAAATATAAATGTAAGCAATTTATAGAATTCAAACAATTATTTTAAATATAAACGTAAATAATGCCAATATTATTTTAAAGATAGCCAAAAAAAAATCTAATTGAAGATTAAATATATATATTTTCTCTAAATACCTCTTATTGTCGTTTTCTCTTTAAATTCTTTTTTGGACAACTTTCAGGACGATTGTTAACATGAGATGCTCCATTTTTTTTCCCAACTCTCGTGCTTCACATGCATCTTTCTCATCATTTGCAATGGTTTCGTTGACATTTTTGTTGATTGGAAATGGAAAAAAACTGTTGCTTAATATTTTATCAAATTCAATGCCTAATTCTACAAAATTTTTTGCCCAAAAAAGTCAACTTAGTAGCCTTACTTGATACTCCTCCGGTCCTAATTATAAGACCCAATTGACTTATTTGAGGAGATTAAGGAAGTAAATTAAGTTGGTTATTTATAATAAATAAGTGTTGTCATTCCTAAAATATCCTTGCTAATTAAGTATATTGGCTAAAACTATCATTATTAGAAGGATTATCTTAGAAAAAAATGCATAAATATAAGAGATAAAATGGATTGGGTCTTATAATTAGGACCAAATAAAAAGTCAAACTGAGTCTTATAATAAGGACCGGAGGAGTATCTTATTTGCAATTTGATGTAAATCATTGAAACAATTTGGGACATCTAACTTTAAATCTTCTTTGATTATGTGTCCACTATTATCAAGAAGACAAGTATGTTTGGTCTATTTTTTTAAAATGTTTGGTCAAGCACTTAAAAAGCACGATAACATAGGATGCCAATGGATTGATATTTCTTGCAACTGCATTTAAGTGTTTCGTCTTCTCAATTATATATCAAACAACAACAATTCATATTATTTAAATAATTAACTTCATGTTCAAAATAAAACCATTTTAAATTACCATATATAACTTAAAGTGAAGAATATATTTTAGTGATAAGTTATCTTGTGTGAGAAAATATAACTTTATATCATACTCTTAGTATTACAAAAATGACAAGTTGATTAACAACTGTTGTGGCATATATTGATAATGAATATTAACTTGCAACACACTTTTTATTAATTTAAATAGCTATATTAACAACCGCTTTGTCATATATTAACCCGTGAGAATATTGGCAAGGGCAATGCGATTTTTTTACATTTTCACTAAATTAGATCTCTCGTTTTTTTTTTTTTTTTGCCATCCACTAAATTACATCTCTTATACTTAGGTACCTTCGGAATTTCTAATTAATTTGCAGCTTTTGCGGGACTGTTTTCCTTCTTTGCTGTATTTGTTGTTCTTAAGAGTTCGGACATTAGCGCAATTTTCCCTAAAAAAAAATTAGGAGTGTTTTGATAAAACCAAATTATAGTTTGAAAAATAGTTTTTGGAGAATAGATTTTTGGGAGAATAGATTTCATAAAGAATAGATTTTATGAAAAAGTAATTTTGACAAAGTGAGAGTATTTGGATAGTTGTTATCAGAAGCACTTTTATATATACAAATTACTAAAAAAAACATAGGTTAATATGATAATTATATAAAAGATAGATTTTATAATATATTTTAATTTAAAGAAATAAAATTGTTAATAATTTATTTTTTTTACCAACATAATTAATAATATATAAGATAATATAATTAATAAATGATTAATATGTATATATATTTATAAAATATAAGATTAAATGTGTTTATGAAAAAATAATTGAGAGGTATTAAAATCATATTATCATTAAGATATATTCTAACATGTATAATCATACTCTTCAATTGAACCAAAATAGAATGCATCACTTTTTTTGAAACCATACTTTTTAAGTCAAAAATCATAATTTGTTAATTTTTCTTCGTATTTGGCACATCTTGGATCCAGATCATGAATTGGGTTCCGAAATAAACGGGACCGCCTGAAAGAAATCCCACGGTTCCGCCCGGCTCTCCTGTGAATTTTGGTTCCCTGGTGACCGGTTGGGCCGCGATCCTTTTCCACTGTGATTCCACCGTCTAACGGTGACGGTGTATGACCGTTGCACTTTCTTTCTGCCGCCTTCACTGATTCTTTCTGTTGCGTTGTGCATATCTCCTTGCCTTTCTTTCTCTTTTCACAATTGCGAGCAATCAGGGCACGGTTCTTCTTGTTGCGACGAAGATATGCCGCCACCTAAAGGTGTTCTTTTGTGTTACTTTCGCACAGTCTCCTGTACTGGGAATACTGATTAATTTTACTCTTTTTTTTTTTTTTTAAATAATGCTTCGTGCTTATTCTGTAACAGAGCTTCCAGGGTTTTACTACGACGCAGAGAAGAACAGGTATTTCCCCATTAAAGGCCCCATTCCCGGCTCTTCTCGCTCTTCTTCTGCGAAGCTTGGTCCTAAGAAACCAATCCCAAGGTCCACTCAGGTATTTATATCATTATATGCGCCTTATCGAACATTTGATATGGATTCTCTTTCTATGCGTGGCATGTTAACGATTTGTAAACTTGTTTATTCTGGTAATCATTATTACAAGCGATATTTAAAGGACAGAAATGGGTTTTTTTTTTTTTTTTAAGTTTTTAGGAATTTAAATAAGAGGGAGTGTATCTTAATAAAATAAAAATTGTTCTCTAATAACTTTTTCTTAAAGCCATTTAAGTTGGGTGGATAAGGATTTGGATGAAGGATTCTGATAGGAACTTTGCTGCACATGCAATGTAACGCAGACAGTTCAAAATAACACTGGTATTGACGTCACAATGGGAGTTCTGCTTCACAAAAGTACAGTGCTGTAAACTCATCCAAATACTATATAGGTCACCACACCCAAGCTTGGCCCGGAATACAGCAACAAAAGGCCAACACAACACATACCAACGGCACTAGATGTACAAACTGAATGTACAAAAATGATATAAAATGGCAGTGAGAACCTTGATTCCGTATTAAACAAGATAAATAAATGTTCTAAAACTCACACATGTGCCTCATGGGTTAAAACCAGCAAAAAAGAAAAAACTACAGTACAATACTCACGTTGATTACAACAAAGAAATGAAGCAACGGAAGCTGGTTTTGGAGAGGCTAGTATCCTCCCCTTGCCCTTCCATTCGCTACTTCTGGCTATTTGGTGTATAAACACTTGTATGATTTGTTTTCCATTTGTGTCAGCCCTGTGTTTCCTCTTTCTACTTTTTTACTGTCTGCAATAACTTTTTATGGCAGTAGCAGAATGAGTAATGGCCATCATATTTTAACTTCTTTCTTTCATAATTATAAACCTTTACTTATCTCATCAAATTACTCATTTCAATTAAGTTGGAATGACTGGGATGAACTATAATTTTATGTAATAAGTTGGAAGCTAAAATGAATGGGATGTAAATGTATCTTGTATAAGGTTTGGATTCTGAGCTGTATAAATGTGCCATGGCAGACGCTTAACAAGGATTCACTTATTATTCTTGTGTACTTTATCTGTGCTTTCTATGTAGCCCTTCAATAAAGTTGTGGTCATTGATGAAAAATAAATTAGAGAAAATGCTACACAAGGAATTAGGGGGTAAAATTAAGGGGTGGGTTTTGAATAATATCTGTTTAATAAAATACTTAGAGCTTCGTGATTAATTGATAATATAATGCTTGTTCTCCTATTTTTAGTATTATTGATCTTTGTTTTAATTGCATATTGTTTATCCTTGATTTTATTATGATTTTTGTGCATATTTTAAATGTAAATAGTGGTTGCTGAATCACGTTAATCACAGGAAAGGAGCCCTTGTAGGAAGCCTTTGAAGAAAACATCGAAACTGCTTCTTGCCAGGGAGTTAAGTGGCAATATCATTATGTCCTACAGATGGAAATGCAATTTCAGGGAGGAATTGCAAAAAACACAAGCATCACAACCTGTGGTATATTTCCTAAATACAGATCTTCGAATCCAAAATTTCAAATGTTGAAATCATACAGCACCAAAACTTATAAATTCTACTTTGCATGTACTTAGCAAGTAATAACTTCTGGCAAGCATTAATGATGATTAAAAGTGAAGGCACAGAATTTGCATTGTTAATGCATCATATTGCCAAAAGTTAGATCATTGTATTATCTCTTGCAGGTTTGGAAATACCAGCGAACAGATAGGATAGATATTAGTGCTCTGGAGCAGATAAACATTGATGTAGAGACTTTTGAGGGTGTGGTCAAAACTGACGTTTTGTTGTCAGGCAACTTGAATGGCTCACTACGGTAACTTCTGGTTTTGTTTCTCTTTTGCCGTGTTCTATCTGTTTTTCTTTTTACTTTTTTGAGGGTCCTTGGATGGAATACTCTATTATTAAACTTTTTACTAGGAGCTAAAACATGTCTCGGATGTTTTTATTTTGAGATAATATTCGTATTGAAAGAATATATGGACTTTGGTGTTTTGTGATTCTGAAATGATATCATGTTTCAGTTAAAGGCTGGCATCTGTCTGATGAATACTGCACAATAATGGACCTTTTTGTTCTCCTTTTAATCAGAAGAAGCCATATAGTGGATCCAGTACCATAGATAACTGGATGACAAACAGTAGCTAGCTTAGTTTTGGCTTCCATTTTAGGCTTCTTTTAAGAAATTGCACTTTTGTGAAAGCCCAATGTTGTAGCTCAAATGGGCAGCATGGAAAGTAATTAGATATAATTTGAAATGTCTATGGTGGAGGTTAGAAAGTTTTGTTGGCAAATTGTATAGATCATTATGAAATGTGGAACATTTGGAAGTTAAAAGTTATGTTTTTTTTTTTTTTTTTTTTTTCTTTTTCAAATTCCAATGGTATGAGATACAAGGCCTATATATACATCAAGGGGAAATAAAATGTAATAAAGCCTAATAAATCATAATTAATACTAATAATGGCTATGCAATAATAACTGATATTTACATTTAACGCACAACATCCCCACATGAAATCTAAGGACTAAGGAAAACTTGTTTATTTAAAAAATTTGAGAAGCATTTTAAACCCTAGGTAGTAAATTTTCAGTTCAGTGTTTTGAATTTCTCTTATGTCATACATGTAATTTATTTATTTATTATTACTTGTAAAATTTTGTGAAGTTTATTATTGCTTTTGAACTTTGACCGTGTGATCATTCTTTAATTTACTTTTTTTTTTTTTTAACTTGGTGATTAAATTGAAATTCTTCACTTTAATAGTCATTTTTTATTTCATTTTAAGCATAGGTATGCAAAACACACGCACGCGCATCTTTGTTTATTTTAAATAAATGATAAATAATTGTTTTTGTTGGGTACCTGTTGGCTCTATCTTTGATGATGTTAAAGTTAGAATATAGTGTGTTTTTTGATTCTGTGATTCAATTATTTATTTCGTTGTTATGCCGTGTGTGTTAGTGTAGCGTGCATTGTGGCCTATTGGTCTAAACGGAAATACTGAAGTTAATATACAAGAGGATAGATAAGTTAAGGAGCAGAATAAGGGAGTAATGATGAAGAGGAGGGGGCAATTAAAAAGTTGAAATTGGGGATATAAAGAGACTAGCTGAGAGCATGGAGTGGTGAGAAGAACCTTGGTCAGGATTTGGTTTGGGTGGAGAGAGCCATCCTCTTGAACGTTGGCAAACTTGTCAAGTTCTTGAGTATTTAGTTCTGACTTGCTGTGTTTGTAGTATGTTCGCTTGTGTAGTTGATGCTCTACTTTCTTGTTCCTCTTATGCATTGTTGTTTTGAATCTGTAATTCATTTCTTCACTGGTCAGTGTCATTTGTGGTACATGTGCAACTCCATATTTTATAGCAAATGTTTAATAGGAGCCTTTGCTTCATTTTGTAGTTCGTTGCTGTATGTTTGTGTTCTTTGGGTGTGATACTTGCTGGGAGGCATTCTATGAGCTGGGACATTGTAATATCTGTTCGGTGAAATAGTAGAAGTTTTATCATTTTGTTTGATCTTTCTTTTGAGTTTAATTAGAGAACTTCTTTGGTTCCTAATATATTCTTAGGTCTTCTTGCTCATTATATGGCAATTTTTTTCTTCGGCATATAACATCAATTTGTACATTGTAAAATAGTTGATTAGAGAATTAGAGAACACCAGCTACATTATTGATACCAGAAAAGAAGGAAAAAATGGCTTGCTTTTATTGCATATAGAACAGCAAGACTTCCTTATTCTTGTTTTGTTTTGTTTTTCTTCTTTTTTCCCCTTTTGGATGAACCATGAGACTTGTTAAATAGCAGATGAGTTGACCACTTTAGTAACAATGCTGTCAACAGATAGTATGTTATCATTTTAATCGAGAGCATCTGTTTACATTATGAAAGTTCAATTTTGTTTCATTTTTCCTGCAACATTTGCCCTTGTAAACGAAGTGATAATCCTTGCCTTTTTACCTGGGTATATAAGAGGTGCTTCTGATTTTCCTGCATATTTCTTGGATAAAACTTGTTATGTACGTGCTTTTGAGCCTCAAAGATATTTTGATCCTTAAATATTGCTTATTAATTGTTGATACTATATAGTATTTACTAGTTATTGCCAATTAAGTTTAATGATTGCAGTTTTTTTGAGGTTCGCAAAGAGCAAGCTATTGATATAACCTGGATGCCAGATCGTGTGAAGAATTATGCTAAAGGAAAAACATACAAGCATGACGAAGTGCCTGCACCAGTTGTTGCAAATTATGGAGGTTTAATTGAAAAGCCATCCAGAATATCTTGTATAAGATTGGGTCCAAGGTTCTCTTCTCATGCAGATGAAGGCCCTATTGTTCGTCATGTATTGTATCCTACCTATGGATATATTTATTTTGCCTTTTGTTTTAGTTGTCCGTAGCCACAATATATATTTTTCGCTGCAGTGTGTTTGTATTAATGACTATGCTCATTGTTGACATATTAGTATAATCTACTCCATCCTAGTGTAAGATCCTGTGCTGCATAGTTAACATGTTATTGATAATGTGAAGGTTCTTAGCATGACAATACAGATTTACTCATTTGGGATCTGAGACATCAGGTGGATCAATTCATATTATGGATCTTGCTGAACCATTAATGCCTAATGTTGTGAGCCCAATAAAGCAAGTTGCTTCCTTTAAGTGTACCTTTTGGACAGCAGAATATGATTATACGAGACCTCGTGCTGTAATTGGCAAGTTCTGTTGCTCTCTTTCCCTTTAACATGCTCTTTATCTCACACGTGCAAAAGATGCATGTGCTCATGCCAGTGCAAACGTGTCTCATTTGTTCAGTATTTCCTGGCACAAATAACAATATTTGTGGCCTGCATATGCATAGGTCAATCTTTCACTCTTTTTTTTTTATTTTTTTATTCCCCTTTAAAAGAAAACTTCAGCATGATTTGTGGATTATTGGAAAATAATGGTTGGTTAAATTTATTGAATAAACTGAATCTCTTATAATTTCAGAAATTTGATCTGAGTTCAGTAAAAGTATTTACAGTTTAAATTTCAGCGTATTAGGTTTACTTGTATATATATGGTTGCAAATAGCAAATAATCTCTCTTGCTCCCTTCGTGTGTGTTTGATTTTGAAAAGATGAAAGTACTCTAGACAAATACACTTTCACCAAACTGTTGTTTGGACATTTTGAGATATTTTTTACGGATGTATCTGAAAAAGCCAATGTGGAGTGAAAAATACTTTTAACGAAAGCAACTCTAAGTTACATGTATGACATGGACTTTGTAATTGTACTTTTGGCTTTCCACTTATTTTGAAATTAAAAATAGATAGATATTTGTTCCATGTTTCACAGGAAAAAAATATTTTGCCACTGAACAACGAAACAAGCAGCTCAATATAAGTCATATATCTCAAATCATGCCATTGTTTACCAGCCAAATACTCATTGGCTTTTTACATAATTTATACTTCACATAAATGAAAAATTTGGCTGTAGTTCCTAATGAAGGTCTTAATTGGTAGTGTACCGAGTTGGTGATGACTGATGAATATGATAATTGTGATGTGCCATGTATAACTTTGAATCTACTAAGGATTGATTTTAATTTTTAATCTTTAGAAGATTTCCATTTTGTATTTTATTTTTCATAGGTACCAATATTGGAGCTGCATCCGTGGATTTGGAAACTGGTCAGGCCTCGTGGTTTTTACGTTGCAAAAGCGATGTTTTTGCTGAACAAATTTTTAATTCAGTAAGTTATCTCTAATGTAAATTGCATCATTTATTTTCTATAAAAAATCATGTTTTTAATCAAATTCATCACATTTGCAGAAAAACTGACATCTTAGGAAATCTTACTGAAAACTGGATGCTGAATTGAATTATTTCAATGGATGAATATGATGAAATGGTTTCCGTGTAGAGGGGAAGCATTTGTTTACTATTTATGGTTTCAGCCATTTGCTGCTAGCACTTTCTTTATAATACACTATAAGTAACATAGTTTTTCTGGGTACAGGCCAATGTAAATTTATGAAGGGGGTGGTATATCTTGGTTTGTGCCCTAGCGATGCATGTAGGTCCAAGTCACATGAGCACAATCATCAATAAAGCATGCAAATCATTGAGTTCCAGCTGTATTAGGAATTATCAAGGACCCCAAATTACACGAGTTGAACTGAAAGGAACAGAAGTTATATTACTGATCGGGAAAGAGTTTTAGTGTTTAGCAAACTCACGTCACAATGAAAAGACTCAACAACCAAATCTTTACACATGAAGGAAATCATTATTTTTCATAACATGAAAAGAAGGATGACTATGATGGTGACGATGAAGTCAAATCTGATCTTAATTAGGCTTAAGGTCTTTAGAATGAAAGGAAATAGGTGACAAACGTTGAATTTCACCACGAGATGATAAAATTCATCCTTGGCAGGACCAATTCTTTGTCTTGTGTCACGTTCCTAAACTACACAAACATCACACTGCAATTAAAATCAATGTTAAGCTTGTTGATATAAACTCAGGAGCACGGAAAACATTCCTCAATATGAGAAGAGGGCTTAGATAAACAGTACCTTGACCAG